GGGGATCCACCTGGCTTCCTATCCACCAGTCACCACGGCAACCGGGGAGTCCTCCCTTAGGAGTGGGGAGGCACCAGTGAGGACCCAGGGTCTTGGAGCTGCTCTGCCTCTCCCAGGAAGCCATGCTGGGTGCCCCCAGCCTCACTCTCAGCTCTGATAGGCCCAGTTTCCATTCCCATTATCTTCCAGAATTTCTCTTAAAGCTGCTCTTAGCCACATGGTCTAGCCCTGGCCTGGAAGTTGGAGATATGGATTAGATGTCCCAGCTTTTCCACCACTAGCTGTGTGACCTTGAGCAAGTCACACTCCTCTCTGGTCTGTCTTCCCACTTTGATGCTCTTTAAGGAGACTTCCAGCTCCATGGCTGAGTCTATCTGTGTGTCCCCAGCCCTCTGGGTACACTAGCTCTGTGATGACCCCCATGCTCCTTCTGGGCCAAGCCACTCCTAGGAGCCCAAGTCTTTCCTTCCCATCCACTCCTGGGGATGAGACTCAGGAGAGGTGCTGGGGGCTGAGACCCAGGCCCAAGGCGCTCACCCTGTGCTGGGCCCGGCAGGTGATGTATAGGGAGAAGGACTCGGACTCCCAGCCCCACTTCTGGCTGGTGGAAGGCAACTCGTCTCGCAGCGCCCAGCTCACCGGCTTGGGCAAGTACGTGCTCTATGAGGTGCAGGTCCTGGCCTTCACGCGCATCGGAGACGGCAGCCCCAGCCACCCTCCCATCCTGGAGCGGACGCTGGATGATGGTGAGTCCGAGTCCCAGCGAGCTTGGGGAAGACCAGGAGGTGCCGCCCTTCCTCCTTCCCGCCAGCCTTACCCCTCTAGGGTCACTCTGTGCCCCCACGGGGGCCATGGCCTCAGGCTCCTCCCGTGGGGTGTGGGCCACACTAAGGACCACAAGCCTTACTGCTGACTACAGCCTGTGCATCCCCCAGGAAGAGGTGACAGTGAGAGGGCACTTTGACATCTGATTCTGTCCCCTGCTCTCTCTAGGGCAAGTGTACAGAGGGCTAGG